CCCCCCCCCCCAGTCAAACCATGATGCCCAATCATCCTCCTATGGGGGTGAGGGCTCAGGTGAATCCTAAGAACTGTCCCAGGAAGTTTTGCAGGGATACAGGCCGGGCATGAGGCCTTGACTCTGGTTTCCGTGTCCTGGACCTCAGCCACTGGAACAGCTGCTCTGGCTTTAATTGGTGCTGCAGTTCTAACAATATTCTATTGGGCTGCCCATCGAGTTTTTCTTTCACTTACCAGGCCTTTATCAAATCAACACACATCAGGGTCCTCGAGACCTTCACGGGGCCTTTTGCACCTCTCCTTTCAGTCGTGGCCTGTACTTTCCTCCTTGCCCTTATTGTTTCAACCTTTCCCAGATCTACTAAAGTACAAGTATAGTCTCTTATGAGTTGCCCTAGGTGGGGGGCAAGAGTAGTCACTAGGGACCCAAAGAGACATGAGGGAGCTGTATACAGCACCAGATTTCTCATTCCTACAGTGAACACCTCCTCATCAGGGCCCTGGGGGTCCATATTATAGATGATGTTTTTCATACCCAATTCCCACAGTACCTGTTGGAGCTCTGCATAGGTTTTCCAACTACTGGGAAAATATGATAAATCACCCTAATTAGGTAAAACTATCCTGATGGCAGCTGTCAGCCATTCCAGGAGTGTTTGATTCCCTGAGGCATGACAGGCATTTTGCAACCGCTGCTTGAGGGAAGGGTGAGTCGTCAGGGAAGCCATTCTACTCATCTCAGTACCTGACACAGCAACGTTTTCCACCCTCATATCCCAGAGAGGTAAAAGCCATGTAGGCAGAGATTCCGATGGCCTCTGCCTATAGCCAGCGCTCATGTCCACCTGGGTATAGGGGCGGAGCATGGAGTGCTCCACAACCTGGGGAGAGCACAGCTCCTTCCCCTCAAGAGCCCACAGTTATTTCGTTTATATTTTCTTAATTACAGGTCGGTGGGCCTTTAAAACAGGAGATGGCACCACCAGTGGTGGTCTGGGTAGCAGATCTGCCAATGGCCCCGCCTCCTCCTCTTCTCCCTGGGGCTCCCACCAAAGGCTCCTCCTCCACCATTTCTGAGGCTGAAGGCACTACTCTTTCCTCCCCACACCACCCACAGCCTCCTGCAACATGGCGGCTTCTCCAGCTGTCTTCCCCCTTGCGGCTGCTAAGGAATCTTCTCTCCTCTCTCCTTTAATCTAATGAGGGTGGTATTTAAGATAATTGGTTTGGCATTGTGTAGGTGATGGCTTAAGGAAGGGAATGTATCTTTTCATTTGAAGGATGTAAGTCAAGATCTTAATTACTTCTGTCTTGAACAGCCTGAAGCTGGAATGAGAGAAATTTGCCAGTGAGAAAGAAGACAAAAGATGCAGTGGCATTATATCAAGGTAAGAAAACTGTGTCACAGATTAGAGTGCCTGTTAGTTTGGGATACTGTTAGGCAGGAAATAGATATGAGCGGGGTGGAAAGAGAAAAAGGCCAGGAAAATTCACTAAAAAGACCCAGAGTTCATCAATTAAAGCTCAAAAAGCCAGGAGCCACTTGGCCTGGAATGTTTGAATACTCCCCAGATAAAGGAGGGTACCTCAGCATAGCCCATGGCTTTACTGTGTTAATCATGCAGGCCCAGCTTATTGTTTTACCTTTACCTGTATGCTGTTTTTTTCTCCTTCTGGCCCTAATCAAGTAGTTTGTAACCCACACAATTAATGTAGCATGCCGGCCCAGCCATAAACAACATAGTAAAAAGCAGGAAGGATTCCATCTTAAAGGTTGTATTTTAATACCCAGGAAGTTAAGAAGTAAGATTCTTTAGCAAACAGACAATAATTCAGCCCACCTTGGGGGCTGGGCAGGCAGTCTGTTTGATATGCTCCCAGACCAAGATGCCCTCATGGCAGGGAGAAATCAGAGCAGGAAGTTCCTTGTGTTAGGTTAATTCTAAGTATTCAAAGACCACTTAACAGGTCTGCACCCCCAGGCCTTAGTCATATTCCTGAAGAAGCCATAAAAGGGGAACCCCCAACCTTTCGGTCTCTGAGGTCGCCCGCACTGTCTAATTGTGTAACCTTTTAATCTTAAACTTTCTCCAACCTTTGACGGTGCCTCTCCTTGCTGAGGCTGCCTGCTGCACTTCTTTCTTTAAGTAACTTTAAATAAAACTTTTACTCTGCTTCCCTACTGTGTCTCTGCCCTTCAATTCTTTGTTGCGTTGGGTACAAGAACTGAGGAAAATACACAACCTCCCCCAAGAATACCAAGAGCACGAATACATTCAGATTGCTGGGGGCTGCAAGGTAGGTCACAGTTGCAGTGCCAGTGTACTGAGGTGGTGAGACTGTGACCATTAGCAACCTGTATTCCAGAATGTTATAACTTGGCCTCTGACAACCAGCTTTGATATGAATTTTCAAAAAGTTAAGCTGCCTTGGGTATAATTTTCTGTGCTTTGTTTTTACAGATTGGAAAAAGAAAAAACTTCACCGGCAGGGTCTTGGCATACGAGGTGGTGAGAGTCAACCTGGTCAGGGAGCCTGTGCAGGTGGCTGAGGAAGACAGGAGGCATGAGCTACAGCCAGGAGCAGCCAGTGCCAGGAGGGCCAAGTGTGCCAGGCAGGGGTGGGCATCTGGAATGTTTGAATACTCCCCAGATAAAGGAGGGTACCTCAGCATAGCCCACGTCTTTACTGTGTTAATCCTGCAGGCCCAGCTTATTTTTTTACCTTTATGTATATACTGTTTTTTTTCTCCTTCTGGCACTAATTAAGTACTTTGTAACCTAGACAACTAATTTAGCACGCAGGCCCAGCTGTAAACAACATAGTAAAAGGCATGAAGGATTCCATCTTAAAGATCGTATTTTAATACCCAGGAAGTTAAGGGCCCATAGCCCTCCATGGCTCCAGAGTTGACTTCACGGTGCTCCTGCTGTCCCTCGCCCCTGGCCTTTAGCCACAGCTTTTCCCTTGGCTCCCCCTCCCAAGGCAGCTCCAGGCTGGCCCATTACAGGCTCTTGGAGGAAGGAGGACCCAGCAAAGAAGAGAGATTCTTTACCTTGGCCGAAGTGGAATCAGGCTGTGCTCCTCCTCTGGTTCTCACAGGCAACCTCTGCAAGCTGGAAAGCAGAAGACACGGTCATGGTGGGCAAGGCAGGGACCTAGGGGTCTTATAGGAGCCTGAGTGCCATGTGCCTTTACGGAAGACACTGGGGAGCTTAGAGTCTGGAGCCCAAGCCTCATTGTCCAAGGCCGCAGGATCCCTGATGGCGATGGCAAGGCTTATGACGGGGATCGCTTTGTCATTTGCCAAGTGCTTCTACATCTGTTACCCACTGCGGCCCTCACAGCCACCCTCTGGGGGAGACAAGCCGAGGGCCACCGCACAGAGGCACCTGAGGGAAGTTCAACACCTTGTCCACACGTGGACCTGGAGTCCCCCCTTCCAATCCGGGCACTCTTTGTCTTCTTTACTTTGTTTTGAAATCTATTTTATTTGATACAATTACCACAACTCCTGCTTTTTTCTCCCTATTATTTGCATGAAATGTCTTTTTCCATCCCTTCACTTTTAGTCTATGTATGTCTTTGTATGGTTTGAAATGAGTCTCTTGTAGACAGCATATAGATGGGTCTTGATTTTTATTCATTTTGTAACTCTATGTCTTTTCAATGGTGCATTCAGTCCATTTACATCTTATGGTGATTATCGATACATATGTACTTTTGCCATTGAAGGCTTTAGATTCATGATTACAAAAAGTTCAAGGCAGCTTCTTTCCTATCTAACAGTCTAACTTAACTTGCTTATTATACTATTTCAAACACAATTTAAAAGGTCTTTTTTCTCCCTTCTTTTTCTTCCTCCTCCACTCTTTACATATTAGGTGTAATATTCTGTACTCATTGTGTATCCTTTGACTGGGTTTGTAGGTACTTGATTTAATTTTGCATTTGCTTAGTAATTAATTGGTCTACTTCCTTTACTGTGGCTTTATTTTCTCTAGTGACAGTTATTTAGCCTTAGGAGCACTTCTATCTAGAGCAGTCCCTTTAAAATACACTGTAAAAACAGTTTATGGGTGGAAAATTCCCTCAACTTTTGCTTATCTGGAATTGTTTAATCCCTGCGTTAAATTTAAATGATCATCTTGTTGGGTAGAGTATTCTTGGTTGGAGGCCCTTCTGTTACATTGCATTAAATATATCATGACATTCCTGTCTGGCCTGTAAGTTTTCTGCTGAGAAGTCTGATGATAGTCTTTCCTTTATACGTGATCTTTTTTTCTCTGGCTGCTTTTAATATTCTGTCCTTATCTTTGATCTTTAGCATTTTAACTATTATATGTCTTATTATATATATGTCTTGGTGTTGTCTTCCTAGGGTCCCTTGTGTTGGGACATCTGTGCACTTCCATAACCTGAGAGACTATTTCCTTTCCCAGATTGGGGAAGTTTTCAGCAATTATTTCCTCAAAAACACTTTCTATCCCTTTTTCTCTCTCTTCTTCTGGTACCCTTGTAATGAGAATATTGTTCCATTTGGATTGTTCTTATTCTTTCATTCCTAGAAATTTTTTTCTCTCTATGCCTCAGCCTCTTTGTTTTCATGTTCTCTCATTTTTATTTCATTTACCATCTCTTCTACCTCATCTAATCTGCTTTTAAATCCCTCCATTGTATATATTATTTCAGAGACTCTATTTTTCAAAGTTTGTATCTCTTAAAGTCATCCCTGAGACCTTGAATATTTTTGTGGCTCCATGTGCATGTTTTTTATTTTTATTTTGAAATCTTTATCAAGAAGATTGGTGATTTCAGTTTCACTTAGCCCTCTTTCTGGTGTCTGTTGGATTCTTGTTTGCACAAGATTTTTTTGCTGTTTCATGTTTTTAGTGATTTCTATGGAGTAATAACTTTGGGTAGATGGCACACTCTAGTGCCCAGAAGCTCTACTCCCTGGAGCTTCCCAGCACCTGGAACAATGGCAGGGGTCGCAGGTGTGTGGCAGTGGCACCTGCTGGGAGGAAAGAGCTCTTTCCTGCTTCCTGGCTGCAGTGCCTGCTTCCACTTCCAGGTCCAGTGGGCCAAGTATGCAGAGAGGAGCCTCTGCATTACGCCCCTGTAGCTGCCATAGTTAGAGCCACCTTCCAGCTGGCATGGCGCGATAGTGGAAGCAGCAAGCGTGTGGACCAGTGACTGCTGGGATGAAGTAGTGGCAGGCTCCGTATTGCCGTAGGGGGCCTCAGCAGTGTATTGCCAGCCAGGGGGATGGAGCGTCCGAAGCTCCTGAAAGTTCCCAACCTGCCGTGCTGAGTGTGCTGGGATGATCTTGTCCATCTGTCCTTTCTCGTGAGCAGCAAGCTCTGTGTAATATTTGCCCCTTTAGCACCCATCTCACTGATGGGAACTCTTTCAATGTATCCCCCTTTCCTTTTTCTCTGAGTGGCTGGTTGTGGGTACCTGTTCTCCACAAGCAGTTGGAACCTCACTCTCTCCAAGTATTCTACCTGTCTTTGCTGTACAACCCCACTAAGCTCCAGAGCACCATGTAATGTGGGTTTATGCTCCTGGAGAAGATCTCCAGAGATGGATGTTTAGCAGTCCTGGGCTTCTGCTCACTCCCTGCTCCATTTTTCTTCCTGCAGCCTGTGAGCTAGGTTAGTGGGTGGGCTTCAGTCTCGCCAGATCACAGTTTTGCTACTTTACCCTTTTCTGTGATGTCTTTTCTTTTCCCCAGATGTAAGCAGTCTGTTGCAGTCTTCAGCTCACTCTTTCAGGATTAGTTGTATTTGCTGTATTTTTGCATTTTATGTGGTTTTGGGAGGAGGATTCTGCCTCACTTCTCATGTTGCTTTTTCCTCTGTCCCTCCCTGATCTTCTTTACATATAGCTAAACTCCTTCTGGCCAACAACTAGAAACTCTACTTCTGACCTGCATGGTGGCCATAAATGACAAAAGGGCTAAGTGACAAAACATGTATTTAGTACAATCTCAAGACTGCTTTAAACAATTATGTAAAGATAAAAGATTGGAAAGAAAGAGACTAAAATGCTAGAAATGGTTTCTCTGTGGCCCTGGGAAGACAGTTCAATATTGTTTTGGTCAAATTTCCCACAATAAAAAGTATTTACTTAATAAGGAAGAAATGTTAAGAAAATAGAACTAAACACTCCATCTAGACATACCTATAGAGGAGGGCACTAAAATTGAAATTGAGGGTGCCTTAGAATAGTGGAACCTGATTTTCTTCTGCCAACTCCCTCCTAATTGTTGAATTTCTTCACTTCTATCTTCGGGAGACTTGCCATCACATGGACACAGCTCCAGCCACTGGAACCCAGGGACAGGGGTGCCTCCAGCAGCACCTGTGTGTCAGATCCCAGACAGGGATTCTGACTGGTCCAGCTTGGGTCCTGGAACTCTCTGGGAACATGTGAATTTGGGGAGAGAATTCCCTGCCTTGCCTGGCCCCAATTACCCAGGATCCATGTCAGGAAGGACAAGATCTCCCCACAGAGGGCTTCTGTTACTAGCAGAAGAGGCAAAAGAAGACTGACAGCAAATCTGAGCAAGGAACTGTAACATCGTTGTGCATTTGTTTGTGTAGCAGCCAAGATAGGCACCTCTTCATGAGGTTATAGGGCCACTGGCATCCTAAATGTGGAAGCCCCACTTAGGGACCATTAATTGCAACCTATGTGAGGAGGTTAAGGACCACTGAGCCCACTGCCCCAACCTTGGAAAGGCTATTGGGGACACTGCGTATACCGCATTAGGAACATTTCTGCCATTACCTGTTTGGCTTGAAACTATTTGGCAAAGGCCCACCATGGGTAGCTGGTTGTCTCTCCTGTAGGAGGAAGAAGCCAGGTCATAGCTCTCCTCCTATGGCTTCTTTGAGAGTCATAAGTTGCATGATCTTAGGAACCAGAAAAAAAAATCCTGTCATGGAATGTTTTTTGTTTGGAGTTGCTGTGAAATGCACTTGGGGACATATTTCTCACCCCTTTTGGGATATGCTGCCCTTTGACACAAAGTCCATCCTAGGGCTACCCTGGGTTCTTGAGGACCACATATTGATAAAAGCTTTCCAAGGATCCAGGACCTCTGTGACATGGAGGGCACTTCTGGGAGCTCTGATTTGTGCCAATATCAGGATCCCACACCTGTGACAAGGAACCAGAACTCTGAGTGGGATTCTGGGGGTCTTTTTGCAGAAATGGGTTTAATTACAACCACAGGGTCCTCTGAAACTGTATAACTACATTTACCCCATCAATGTCCACACTGGTTTTCCTGAACCCTGAAGGTATGAGCCCAGAATTGCCCCTCCAAAGGGAAGAGCTGTGACTGGCTATTCCTGCATAGTCTGGGACAGATTCCACTCAGGTTGTAAAACTTACCAGGCTGTGTGGAGATCTGAGCTTGAAAGTGGAAGGCCATCATTTAGTGTAAAAAGACAGTTTCAGTTTACAATATGACAAAAGTGTTGGAGATGGATGGTGGTGAGGGCTGCAGAAAATGTAAATGTACTTAGTGCCACTGCATTGTGAAGATAAAAATTGATAAAATAAAAACTTTTATGTCTTTCTAACCACAATTTCTGAAAATGACAAGAAAATGTGTGGACCATAATCAATATCCAGGGAACAGTAAAGTTTGGAGAGCAATGTACAGGACTCCCCACTGTGTTCAAAGCAGCCACACAAAGCAGGTCCTCCAAAAAGGAGGATAAAAAAATGATCACCTGCTTATTGGGAAAAAGTTGGTATTTGTTAGTTTAAAAAATCTTCAAGTGGTTATCATAAAAAGAAAGAAGTAAAAATTTTGTTTGGCTTCTATGCTCTTTGTTGTTCAAAATTATTTTTCAGCTTGAAATCATAGATGTGATATGCTGTAGTGCTTTCAGGACCATAGATTCTTGAGGATTTACTCAGGTAAATGTTTATGAGGGGTAACGTGCTCTGCTTCCTCATTCCTCAACATTTGCTGAGCACCTATCTCAACAGGCCACTAGTTGAGGGGAACTGTGACTGCTCAGCCAGGTGGTCATTTAGGTCAACTCAACAGGTTCCTGAATAATTTGTTCTCAGGGGCTATTTTGATGTTGTAACC